GAGTCTAAAACCAAAATCTGTGCAGCAGCACATACGGAAGTGGGCAGACGAAGAATCAATGTGATCGACACTGTAGGACTCTCTGATACAAAAGTGAAGATTACAGATCTTCAGACCAAAATAGAGCAGATATTTGATTGTGCACACGATGGTGTTGACGTGTTTCTGCTGGTGATCAGACTGGGTGTTAAATTTACAGAGGAGGTCATTACAGCGATGAAATGGATCCAGGATCATTTTGGAGCAAAAGTCTTAAAACACACAATAGTGCTCTATACGCATGCAGATCAGTTACAGGAGACAGTAGAAGATCATCTGGGAGAATGTCAAACACTGCGATCACTCGTTGATCAGTGTTCAGGAGGATTTCATGTTTTTAACAACAAAGATGAAGATCCATCTCAAGTCACTGAGCTTCTGGACAAGATAAACAGACTGAGGATGACGAATGTGTACAAGAGATACAATGAGCAGGACTATAAAGAGACACAGGATAAAATCCTAATCAGAAAATATGTTACTGGAGCAAAAATAGGAGGAGGAGCAGGTATATTTTTAGGAGCAGTAGCTTCTGAAGTAGGAGCAGGTGAATTAACTACATGGAAAGCAGCAGCAGTAGGAGCACTAGGAGGTGTGGTTATAGGAGCAGCAGCAGCTTGGGTGCTTGCGAGAAAATATACATCCAGACAAAAAATATAAAAGGCACTGACTTAAATTGTGTATAAATATAAATATAAAACATAACCATTTAAAATAAATCAGACACCAGATTTCCTTTTACAAATTGTACTTGTTTGTTAAATATTGTGTCCTACTTTTCTAATCACAATAAAATAATTAACAGAGCATTTCTGTTTAATAGATTTTAATAACAAAATGATTATTAAATAAAGGAATAAACTAATAAATTAACTCATATTGTGTATTATCTATGTGTTATGTGTATTATGCAGTTGTCAAAGTGTGACCTAGGGGTCACTGCCAGGGAACTTTACCACAATGTCAAGAGGATGGCAAGAATTTATAGCTAAACGTGCATGTGTTCACTGATGAATTAACTAAAGTCAGGATTTCAAAATGTAGAGTTTAACTTACTCCTTTAC